ACAATAGCAATCGAGTTGATGAGAAAGCTCTGATAAATTGCATTCTAGAAACATAGATACGGAATGCGATGGCTCGGTCAGGGCAGAGAGAGTGGCCATGGACGACTTGGTAGCATTCTTACGATGATCTTCAAAAATGATTTTGGTACGAAAAAGTCGATAGGGTACAGTTCTATATGATGACAAGTAAAACATTCCTATCGGCACCAAAAAAACGGCCACCAAAAAAACTTACTTCAATCGAATGCCAATGCAAATATTTACGAAGCGTATTGGGCCTATTTCAGATGATGTTTCAATATCGTCCAAAATATAATGCTTTTAAAACGACTGTTACAATCGATGTTTCATATTTGGTTTATTTGATTGTATTTTGTCTCTTACTCACTACCTATATGAATCTGTGCATGTACGAATGTCTGTGACGACAAGAACAATAATTAACAGACATGCAATTGATTCATTCCTCTGCGCTACTTCCTCTTCCCGAAACCATTTACAACCTGTCGTTTGTTACATGGACCCTCGGCATTATATACGCAGCGATAAAGAGCATAGGATCTGATGTCTGTCAGCTCTGTCATCGCTGATCTAGTGTGAGCACTCACGAGAAAATTCGACTTCAACGGGGGGTGATGTTTCAAAATTTGCAAAAAACAAACACCCGTTTGTTCGAATACGTGTCGCTCTACAGCGCTTCGGTAATGTTCGCATCCAGTTGCTAGCTTACAAGAACGTGCTTCAAACAGAAGTTAACCAAGTATTCTTCCTCTCTCCTCTGATTCGCTTTTTTGATGTTTATTTATTTAGTGTATTTGCTTTTGTCCTAATCGAGCGTATTGATGTTTTATAACACGGTATCTTTGTCACTGCAACCGCTTTACTGACATGTGTCAGGACCAAACTGTGGGTTTTCGATCAGGTTCATCGTACTAAATACGCTTTGTAGTCCTAGAAACTTTGCCCTTTTTGTCCTATTATGAACAGTGCTTGGCACCTGCGATGGCCGACGTGGTTCAAATTCTGCCCGCCGACAGGCGTCTCGATACAGATGTCATCACTTCTTTGTTGTGAGATGCCAACGAACGTGATATTACACCCATTTGGCGAACTAACGAAGCTCTGCATCTGATTATGCGTTCTAAATACCACAATCTACATCGCTGAAAAAGGCAAACCGAAACTACAATCTGCGGAAGTATTTCCGCTTAAAAAAAGGTTTCACCCGAGACTCGCAATGAGTTTGCGTTGGTTCGTCGCATTTTTATGGGTTCCCCTCTTCCACCATGTCCGTATCTAAGCAAGTCGCTCTCTCCCACTGTTCCGCAGATTTTTCGACTCCTCGAGACTGTTGATTCAATTAAGAATACGACAAAAACTGAGACTTGGAGGTGAGCCACAACGGCAATGTGCTTCACGCCGTTAGTTCTACTGCGCAAAACGTTAGGAGGAGTAACGAGCTTTTCTCGATGGCCCTGTGACCACCCAATCGCTTTCCGGCTTATGTAAGGCGAGGAGAAAGGAGTCCTATAGCTGGTCTGCTGCCACTCAGATAGTTGATCAATGGGTTGGCGTCCAGTGGGTTCACCCAATCTCCATCTGTTTGCATTTATCAAAATATTCGATCATAGGCGCTAGAGATACGTACGCCGTTTTCGAGGACCATATCCTTATCATACTTTTAGTTGTAGAAACCTTGCAGAGCTGCCTTAGCGGTGGTACGCTTAATGGTATAGAGCGGCGGTTATTTGGTTAGTCATCTCTATTGTACCACTATTTCCACAGGGTAAATGCGTGCAGGCCGGCCACAACTGTTCGTAACGAATCATCAAGGAATGCCTGCTACGTTTGAAGCTCGTGATACGGGATGGTGTGTGCGTGTGTGTGACAAATCTAAAACGCAACAACACTAAAAAAAAAAACAAAGAAATAAAAAAAAACCATCAGTGAAAAATATGCCGCAGAAGAGAAAAGCAAAACTACTAGCTACTAGTTGGGCGCGCATTGCGGTTCGACGCGTGTAGACGTCCATATCTGCTGATTCGAATTTAACTACCCCAAGTTTACTACAGTCGTTTCATGGATGTTACAAACTGATCCTGAACGAGCTGGAGTGCAAATTCATTAGAATTCTAGCAAGGTGAGCCCAAGAGCTCGACTGCATATTGCCTTAAGGCGACACCGGCCAGGAAAAACTGCCAGCTCAATTAGAATTCTGAGCCTTCTGTTACATATTATATACATAGGCCATGGTGAAATGTAGAATCTTTCTAACAACCTAGTGATGATTTATTGTACTTAAGACTTTGTCATATAACACGAGCCACTTTATGAAGACATTCAACACGTTTGTAGCATACATTCTCCGATATGAGAAATCGTCGAGATAATGAACGCCATTTTACTAATCATCAAACTGGGAGATCCTTAGAATGGTGCTGCCCGAAATTGAGTGAATCAAAACACCTACATTAAAAACAAATGAAAAACGATGTTTCCCGAGCGATTCCCATCCTCAGACCGGACGAATTTCGCAATCTGAGAGTGCGTCTTCTTTTGCGTTAAGTGTAAGTAGTAGGTGATCAATGATCGCGAGTGGATATGATTTCTGGAACTTACACTTTCTGATATGGCTTGAAACGTGACTGGTCCGTGTTCCTCCTCCGTATTATATGATTTTCATTTGACCCGCCATTAGTGGCTAGCCAATATCTTTTCAAGTCGGCTATTTCCATACTGTTATTTCTGCCTCTTTTGATCATTTACATACAGTAAGCTTCATGCTGCAACCGCTGGTGGGCAAAGTAAGCGACGAAACAGCCCCGCCATATAGGTCAGTCGTAATGATTTTCAAGTCTGCTTTTGGTTTAGATAGTCGACTCGATTTGTAAATTGCATCAAAATTAATTGCTGCAATCATATGCCATGGGCATCAGCGACGTTCGAACATGAAAAGTTGCACGCCTGGTACAACATAAGTTTTGAAGCACGTGTAGTTCAAGCTGGTTATAAGAACAGGGGACGAGAATGTAGAAGCACCGAGATAAGCTGCCTAAGGGTTCCTAAAAGCCACAGTTGGAAAGGCCAGCGTTAAAGAGTATTTGATCAATCTCTCTGGCAACCCACCGATAGGCAGTAGAGCCTGGAAAGGTTAGGTAGGCTTCGCTATTCGCAGCCTATCTAAGAAACGCCTATCTGAACAATTAATTTTCGTTAGTGCTACTATTCTGTGATAATTCGCAGTTGGTAAAAAAAAAAAAAGTAGAATTTTATAGCCCAACTCTTACTGTGTTGTTGTTGTCTCTGTTTTTCTTTTTTTTTTTTTTGATAACACACTTCTATCTTCAGCAAAAGAAATTCTACCTATTTTTTTTATCTACAGATATTTGATTCACCTAAATGTTTCCTGTAGCACTGCCGAAATAATAGGGAATAAAATGGCGATATAACGGTATTTGACCTATGATCTGCTATCTGGCCCATTTGCTTTCTAACTATTGACAGGAATGTACAGGGAGGTCTTAACTAGGTAAACGGTCTCAACTAAATGGGCGGTGGTAGGTAACGCTAGGTGTGGCGAAAAATTCCTACCGGCCGAAATATCACGGTCCTCACATAGGCATGCCTGTCTCTATCTGGGATCATGGAACAGCTTTTTTTTTGCTCTACCGTGTCGGTTATGCGAGTAGCCCCGGCGTTAACAACGGCGGATGATACCGCCGTTGTTGCAGTCCAAATAAAAGTGGAAGCATGGCATAAATATTTCGGTATTCACTATGTAAATATAAATCCATTTCAGCGATACGGCCGATTGAGCGCTCAGATGAACATTTCTATTTATACAGCTGGTTACAGTACGGAACTGTTAAAGAACGTGTACATGCGCGACTGGCTCGGTCGTCGGCATAAGAGTAATAAACGGGGTTTTGTTACTGCTGCTCCCGCTGGTAGCGAGCTGGCATTACTATCGGTACCGATATTCGGTATATGTATATATAGACGCAGCAATGTGGAATGAAAAAACGGGTAGATACTGCTGTTAGAGAACAATTAACTACTGTGAGCTGGAGGGAAGTTTTTCGCACCTAGAACAAAAAAAAAAGCTAAGTTTGTGTCTCTCAGTCAGTCAGTTAGTCCAAGCATCAACAGAATTGAACGACTGAATGATATGTATTAGTATACGCAGAGCATGACAGAAATGGAGTAGATAATAATACGGTATTTAAGTTGCGCTGTCCACCTTGTGTGAATTCAGAGCGCGAGGTACAATTATTCTAAGTGTATATATAATAGGAAAAACACGGGCGTCGATTTAATGACTCAAAAGTGGTGCATACCGAAACGCAAAAGCCGAAGAAGGACCCTAGGATTCCAGCACAGCCACACATAAAAATTCATACAAGTATACTCGTATATATACATCAGCTAGATGTGTACATTTCTATACACAGCGTGAGCGGATTTTACCAGTATACACCATAAGGCGCCGTTGTAGGCGCTGCTTTATGTATGTACATGCCAAACTGCCACCATTAGCCGTAAAGCAAAACAAACTACGCCATGCATTAGTCCATAAGGAGATTTACAAGCCCACAGAATATTATTCTTTCTCAGTTGGGTGATAGAAAGGATAATTGGATATTTATAGGAAAGGAATGGATGGGATCATGTACAGGTCATATCATGCGTGGTTCATCTATACGTCATTCAATTCATATTCTATATCACTTGACAGTTTAACAACAGCATGACGACACTTAGAAGTAATGCGTAGGGAAATGGCGGTATGTATTTGGGTAACTCGAAAAGCCTCGACACCAATTTTTGGTAGAGAAAGTGTACGCGTGCACACATCAATGAAAAATATTCACATTACTGAAAATGCTCTCATTATTCCAAAACCGCAAACGATTATTTTTAGAGCTACGGTATTTTGGCCCATTTCGTCTTCTCTCTCTTAACCCTTCAGTTTAACCATAAACAAGACAACAAGTACTTACCGGGTTGAGCATAACCTCGCTAACCGGGCCGGTGGCTTGCGGCAGCGCAGTCTGCTGAAGCCCAATGGGGGCGGATGCTTGCAGTGGTGCAATAGTGGCGACACTGGCGACGCCACCTGCGGCTATTGCAGCCGTGAGGCCGCCGTTTTGTGCCGTCTGTTGACTTGTTGGTGGTTGTGGAGGCAGCTGGTAATGCTGACTAGAGTATGCCCATTGTTGGTAGTAGGGATTGTTTGCCGTGTAATTGCCACTGAAGTAATTGTGGTGATAGAAATGCTGATGGTGAAGTCCTCCATCGGAGAGAATCGAAGGAACGGCCCGACGTGCAAGTCGGCGCGCTGACCCCGTTAATGAGGTGCTAGATAATAGTAGGCCATCTTTGTTGGCCTGTGTCACCTGTTGGGTGATGTCGCGGAAGCGTCGTTGCATGAGGTAAGCTCGCCATGCTCGTTGAATAGTAGTAGCCGCTCTACGGGCCCGTAGACCACCGTATTTGCGTTCGAGCATCTCGACCTGCTTATCGAGTAGATCTTGAGACAGCTCGTAACCTTGGCCGCCATGACAACGACGCTTAACGAGGTCATCATCAATGCGTCGAACCTGAATGCAACATTATAATAGGTAAATAAAAGAGGAGGAACAATTCGAGAGAAAACAACCGTTAATTTGGCATTGGTATGCGTTAGATGAGCTAATATTTACTAGCTTAAGAAAAATAGTCGTAAAGTGTGGTTATAGTGCAGAGAAACAATATGTTATTATAACTATTATTATATTCTAAGCAGCTTTAACGATTACTAGCTTCTTGTCAAATAGATCCCGCTGACCGAGCAGATAGATGTGATAAAACTAAGTGTTCCTTATAATTACCAATTAAGTTTGTGCACTTTTATTCAGAGTAAATATATATATATGACTGTTGCTACAATCGTTTGTTGATACATACAAGTCCGTTCTTATCAGTCCCTTTGGGCGTTGGCTGAATCTGTAAGGCCCCTTGTCCAGATGCTGAGGCGCTGCGGTGCCTTCGATGATCGCGGTCTTCCTGGAGGTCCTTTAGGAGACGCCGTGGTACCCCTACGCCTAGGCCGAGACCGCTATTGGTATTCAAATCCACTGGTGGACTGGGCCCTAAACCGCTACTCTGATGACTGCAAGTTCAGAAAAGATTAAAATTTTACATAAAATTCCTGTTCTGTCAATATGGAGGAAAGAGCATCAGATGGTACGACTTACAAGGAATAAAGGTTTAAAATAAAGGAAATAGTTGTCTAAAGCTGTGGACTGGTGCTACATCTGTAAAAGACATAGAATTTTCTAATGTGTCATCAATGTATGTCGTACAGTTGAGAAGCATACTTACAAATAAACGTACTATTACGTTTATGAAAAATCTAATAAGATGTCCGGCATAATCTGCAGCTAGCTTATGTAACCAATTTTAGCAAAACTCAGCTCGCGTTCAAATGCCGTCGCATAAAAAATATATATATATATATAAGTAAGTTAGCAATCAATAAGTCATTAGCAAAAATAACAAGGAGCATAGTTTTCCAAAACAAGTCAATTACTGACATGGCGCGGATTTTATTTGTCGCCTGCATATCTGTCATCCATTTATCACAAAGAAAAATCTAAAAAGATTGCTTCGATTATATAATGTCGTCCAACATAAATCTGAGGCTAAATTGCTATAACGCGATCATAGATTCTCGCGGAGCGTGCCACCGTCAAATCAAAGCGATGGCGTACAAATACGATACTAAAATCAACGAGCTATTTGTATCTACTACAGCGCCGGTATCAATTCTCAGTGAAAATAGTCCTCACGATAAAACACATCTATTTATTGGAACCAAGTCCTGTCCGATCGGTAAAAATTAAATAAATTTCATACATTTGATATTTATCTCTTAGCAAATGCATGGCAGCGAACATGGCGATGGCTGTTCACCCACTCGACAAAGTCGAACCGGTGAACAGCTGAAACGAATACGGCTCCAGTCTACCTTTAGAGCATCATAAATATTTTGGCATACGAAAACGTGGTAGCCATCTAGGGATAAAGAACTACCAATTTGCCTATATCGCATTTCGCAACCGTTGTTACCACCGATCAGTAGATAATTCTTTCGTGGCTCCTAAAGGCACCTCTCTCTCTATATGGGGATTAAACTACGCGTACTCCTAACGTTCTGCGGTGACAAAGACTGTTGAACAGATCGTTCTGGATGCACGATGCATTTGCGTCGTATGATACGATGTTACATTTTCTAGTTTTGCCTTTTTTTTAGGTACCAATATGTGCCGGTTTACCATACTTGTTCCATCACACATTGTGAACTAGGCTAGGTAGCGCCAGCTTTTGCCAGATATTATGGCCCAGCTTCACAGTGTTTATGAGGTTGTTTTGTTCAAATGCTTGACATGACAACGGGAAAAAATTAATAATACGTACAATGATAATGCGAAAAAGTATAAATCTTTGAAGATTCGGTTTGGGCGCGAATAAGCCAATGCCGGCCGCCGAGCGCTATTTTAATATAGCCGTAGAGCAACAAGAAAAAAACCAGCCTATTTGTCTTCATCAAAATGGCTATGCGACTGGCAATATCGTGACAGTTTTATACGAACAACAGAAAACGCGACTAGGACCATGTTGTAGAGGTTGTCACCGAATATCATCAAAAATGTTAGCTGTATGAATTGACCAGTGGCCATTCCGGTATATTCCAATCTAGTATCATACCATCGCTTATACTGAAGCTACGGACAAGGCGCTGCAGTTACCGGTATTTGTTCCAAGTCCGAATAGCGTCTCTCTTTTAATAAAATGAGATACTATGTTTAGGTTCGTTATAGTTATTGAACAGAGTATCTCATTTAGGATAGCCGTTGACGTGGTTGGTTAGTCCCATAGTATATCAATGGCCAATGGTCCTTACGTAAGAGCCTATCTCGACAGGCTGCTTAATAAGCGGTGAGAGAAAAACGTGTCTTATATGCGCCGTCGCGCAATGTTCCGTGTTCGCTATACAGTGTTCATTTTGAAGCATAAAGGTTTGTGCCGTCCTTTAATATGTTGAATACAATGAAATACGCTTACAGGTATCGTGAATATAATTTATAAGATGTCTGAGACTATTTTCTCGATCAGCGTAAACCCGTTTGCGTTCGCATCACTCTTACGACTTAACCCCTTTCTTCTCATGTTCATACTACGTCCTGAGTGGAGGTAATGATTAGTGGTAATTTCAACGACGGTGGTCGAAACTGCGTACAAAATAACGCTGTCTAACAAAGAATGTATCTACTATCGATAGTCCAATTCTAAGGACAGCATCAGCGATAGCGTTGATTATGTTGGCAGCTCTGAGCAGAAAATACGGATTCAAACTATGAATAAAATCTACTGTTTTCATTTATCTTCTGTATGGTATTTGGCAGCGGGTATGGGACTGCAGCAACAATAGCAGTCAAGCACATAACAACTACCACAATTTTCTAGGCGTCTTCTTTGACGCTAACGACTTTCGAAGCCGATGAATCTGATGATTCACCCAGTATTCGGCATCGTTTATATATTAGTGTTCAGGAATCGTCTGATTCAGCTGGGATTCGTTTTAGGATCGGTTGTACCAGCGGTAGTTGTGACCTGTAATAGTAATAATACGCAAGTCTCTATCTGTGATAACTGCACGTTCATGTGTACGTGCACAGATATATAGGTAATACGGAGAACGCGGGTAAAGATGATCATGAGGGGGCCCTGGCAATTTTCCCGACAGTTACCTTGGTAGTTATCTGCTATGCTGATTACTTGCTATAAATTTTTAAAGAGAATCGTTTGTTTGATAAAGCGACATATCATCCCGTCTGTAATAACATACCCCAACATTTTTAACACAAGGATTTTCGGTATTTCATCTACTTATTTTGATACTTCATTTTAATCCCTGGCAGCAACCGGGCAACTTATTGTAACTTAGCGACTCTTGCAGACTTAATTTACCGATGGCGTGGTACTTACAGATTATCGGTGGACCGAGATGTGCAAGTTGAATAACGATCGCTATTAACTAATGATGCACACAAACGTAATTAACATAAATTATCGACTGTGTCACTCTGCACCTACTAGCGAGCTGTGCATGAAGCGTGTACATAATACCAAGTGCAAATTTTCACGTTAGAGAGCTACCGATAACCACTCTAGGCACCTTCAAGGCAACTAAAAGGCGTCATCTTTTTGCTGAGTTCTTGCCCCAGGGGCTTGAAGTCGTACGCAAAACAGAACAGTACTTTGATCATCCCTGCAATAAGCAGTTTATGAACCTACGCTGATATTTGGCGCGTCGACAATTTTTTACTGATATACGTTGACCATATTTATAAATTCGCTACTGTTCATCACGATTATATCATGCAGAGCACCTGGATTCGTTAGATAGAGCGAGTGACAATTTCGAAATTGTGGCTAATAAACAAATTGGTCACTGTTCATTTATGCTTATATACTATCCACGTATATACATGAAACTATTGAGCACGAGTTATCATGTCGCTTCTGATTTGTTTGCCTGACTATGACTGGTCAGCCGGCTGACCTTTACAGCCGCTTTGTTTGGGACCACCGTCAACGCATTTAAGCTTTCTGATAAGACGATTATTCTGGTGTGGCACTGACGACGACGACGTATATTCCGCCGCTGCACGGCCTGTTATCTTTGATGGTCGGATTCATTAAATGCCGCCGCCGTCACCCGAACCATCATCAAACTTAAACGAGTATATAAAGCCTCAGCACACACGTTCGTTACGAACCTGCTAAACGCGCGAGCAAGTAAGACCTCACAGCCCTACTAACAACATTTGCACATGTTGAAGTAACGACAAACGCGTATAGGCGAAGCCAGAATTTATTAACTGAACAAAGAAAAAGAGCCAACAGTTCGCCAACCACTTCAAGCATTACTTAGACCAAAGAATATAGCGGCAGTGTGTGTATCTGAATCTGTGTATGTGGTGTGTGCGTGTGTCTCTGCAGGTTTGTGAGTGTGTGTACATGTGTCTGAGTGTGTGTACATGTGTGTCAGTGTGTGCCTGTGTGTGTGTGTGTTTCATTCTACGAGGGCTGATTTAAGTGGCATTGCTTCTTTCGAGCTGGCGAACGCAGCAAATTCGTTATCGTCGCATGCCTACGAGTGACGTCCATCAGAAAGACGTACAGCTGAGCTTCCGCATATGTTTGAACAAAGCCGACTTATTAGTATGGCTTGTTGAGAAGTACCTATTCACATTAATTTTGGGCCTATGAAGAGCATTAGCGAAAAACTCTATAATTTTTTTTATACATTTTGCAACGCCGCTCAACCCTATAGTGCATTTCGGAATTAGCCCGAGCAGATTCGATAATATTTTCAAAGATAGTCTATTTTGTTCTTCTGTAGTTCTTCTATGCGTCTTCACATGCCTCCATTTGCAAACACAGAGTTTCTGCTGGCGGAAAGTCTCGAGTGGCGCATATAAATGAAGAATATAAAGCACGCTTTTTTTTTACTTGCTGTTCAGTTTGACTTTAATAATTGCGTATTAGTACAATCATCTTAATCATATTTTGTCTGCAGTTATCTTCATTAAAAACTTAGCTTCCCTGCACCTCGTCCTTTTCAACTGATAGCATCGTAGAAACGTTTCTTCCCTAGAGCCTAAGGATCGGCCATGCGTAGAAACTAATTCCATCAATTTCGTATGAATAGAACGTGATTGGCAACGTCCTAGTCGGCTCTTTCAAGTCAGTGGTTCAGTGTGATGTCCATGAACAATACTCGCAATGTTTCGATCGTCCAACGCTTTCTGGGTGTTGCCCCATCCCCTTTTGCCCTCTATCATGAGGGCATACTGCATTTTTCCATTCTTCGGACCCGTGGCGTTGCTGCTCGGGTGGCATATTTTGTCAACTTTTTTCCTTTGTTACAGCAAACGCGCTAGCAGCAAAAGAGGCGTAGCGTAACGTTCGCTTTTGTCTAGCTCTTGTATGTATATATCCTGTATAACCTTCTTCTTGAAGCGTCAAACAAAAAGCCGACGGAGAAGGGATGTCAAACGGCATACTTTTCGTGGCTACCAGAACTACGTTCGTTTCGTCTCA